GCTGCAGGGCTGTTGACTTGTGTTTCCAGCCACAGCTCTGCTAACGAGCGGTTTGTGTGAACCCCTAACAGTGATATCCTGGGTTTCTGTATCCCCCCTGGGCCCGCCGGAGCCGGGAGCTCTTTAGAAACCATCCGCAACCCCCCCCCCAACCCCCGGGGTAGAGGGCGGCAGGGAAGTGGGACACATTGAGCTGCACAAGCGTGCAGGGTGGGTTTTCAACCAAGGACGGGCTCAAACTCAACTGCCCTGGGATGTTTCAAGTCCACTCGGAGCAGCTGGGAGCTGGGTTTTCACAGACCCCTGCACGGCAATCCGGTCGGTAATCGGCCAGGGTGCCAGCCCGAGGCCGCAGAGTGCGGAGAAGGCTCCAGCCCCAAGCTCCCTGGCACTGGGTCAGGCCCCAAACTGCTGATGTTGATGTAACTAGCGAATAACGTGTGTCGCGCGCCCCCTTGTGGTCTTGGCAGTAAATCTCGGTGGCCTTTTCCCTAGTGGCACAGGATGCCCACGACCCAGGAGACCGACGGCTTCCAGGTCAAGCGCCCTGGCGACGTCAATGTGAAATGCACCCTACTGCTCATGCTGGATCACCAGGTGAGGCTCCAACTCCGCCGCTGCCCAGCCTGCCTGCCCTGGGGAAAGTCCCTCCCCTCTAGCAGCAGGTAATGGCATGGCTGACCCAGAGCACGGGGGGGTGGGGGGGTGACTGGCAGGGGCCATCCCTGGGGCAGATCTCCTGAGCAGCCCATCGAGTGACTTTAAGGAGCCATGGAGGGGGGGTCCCCACCAAACATACGTAAAAATACCTGGCATGTGGTGCATGCTGGGGCATCCCAAAGGCAAACCATCTGCTTGTCTTGAGCGGGCATAAAGCTCCCCCCAGGGAGGGCAGGTTCGGCAGCGTCTGCTGAGTGGGGGGATTCATTCCGGAGGCAGGCGGCACATCCTGCCAGTGTGTCGCCATCCCGCCCCCCCATCTCCTGTCCCTGTGCACCACCCGCTGGGGGTCCTGGGGCTGCCCCGTCAGCTGCACCCTGCCAGAGCCTGCTCTTCCTCTCTCTCGTCCCTGGTGGGTCTCTGAGGCCACCTGCTGACCCTCCCTGGATGGGGAGGGCACATGCTGGGTCCCACAGCTGGTGTGGCCCAGCCCCAGGCTTCATAAGCATGTATGGCCCTGAACAGTGAAGGAGCCAGGCCTGTCTTCCCCCCCCCCCCCCCCCCCAGTGAGGGTCCTTTCCCCATACGGGGGCTGGCTCCCATGGGACCGACTTCTCTCTCTGCATCCCCCCACAGCCCCAACCCCAGTGACTTGTTCTGCCCCTCCTGGCGGATAATCAGCAAGCGCACTGGAGAGTTTGGGCCTCTGCCAGGGGGTTAGTTGGCTGCCATGCAAGAGGGATGGGGGGCCACTCTCTTGCAGTGGCCTGTGGAGCCCTTGGCCAGTGGTTACCAGGTCACTGGGGACTAGGGTGACCAGACAGCAAATGTGAAAAATTGGGACAGGGGGTGGGGGGTAATAGGAACCTATGTAAGAAAAAGCCCCCAAAATCGGGACTGTCCCTATAAAATTGGGACATCTGGTCACCCTACTGGGGATGGTGAGGAAGGCAGTGGCCAGGTGGGTCCATGAGAGGCTCTGTCCTTGCAGGGAGAAGATCAGTTCAGATCAGAGCCCCCTGGTGGCCCAGGAAGACTACAGGTCCCAGCAGGCTGTGCTCCATCCCAATCCTATCAGCCCAGCCACACTGCATGCTGGGATAGCGCTTCTGAAGCTGCCCCAGCTCTGGGAGAAGTGCAGACAGCTCCCAGCTGGGCTGCGCCCATAGCCTGAATTTCGAATGGCAATAGCAAGCCAACCCCCCCCGCCCTCTAACCAGAAACCCCTCTAGACCCGGTGGGCCCACCCAGGGAACAGGGGTGGCTGCAGACCGCTCCATTCTCGGCGGGCTTGGTGCAGCTCTGTCGGCAGGTGGTGCTGGGAGGGAGCGCCCAGGCCCTCCCTGGAGGGTGCTGTCTCCCTATCTGTGTCTCATTGCAGCCTCCGCAGTATAAACTGGACCCTCGCCTGGCTCGCCTGCTGGGCGTCCACACCCAGACCCGGGCCAGCATCATGCAGGCCCTGTGGCTCTACATCAAACACAACAAGCTGCAGGACAGTCACGAGAAGGAGTACATCAACTGCAACCGCTACTTCCGCCAGGTGGGCCTGGGGCTCCCCGCTCCCTGGGCTGCAGCCAGCCCCGCCTGGCCCTGTCCTCCCTCCGCAGAGACCCACCCCTTGTCCCCGCCCTTCGCCAGCCTCGGCTCAACCCTGGCCCTGCCGTGCAGAAACGGGTCAGCCTCCTGCCGCAGGGCCCAGGGTGGGCGAGGGGACGGTGACTCTGGGCCGGGCCCAGGGCTGCAGGGGGGCTCTGGGGGAGGAGTGCTGAGGAGCAGGCGGCCCCCAGGCCCCACTCCCCGTGAGTGTCACTGAAGCGTTTACCCGCCTTACGCCAGCAGATGGTGATCTGGTCCCTGCCCATATTGGAGGCTGGGTCCCAGCCCCCTGCGCTCCTCTCATGGGCTGAAGGAGCCTCCTCACGGGGGCTGCTAATGCTCTGACTTCCCTCCCGCCCTAGATCTTTAGCTGCATTCGCATGCGATTCTCCGAGATCCCCATGAAGCTGGCAGGCCTGCTGCAGCATCCGGATCCCATCATCATCAACCACATGATCAGGTAGGGCAGGGCATAGCCCCTGATGTCTGCTCTGGGGCTGGGACTTATCTGGGCCGGGCTGGGGTTGGGTTGCTTCTGGGATTCTTTTCTTCAGTGTGCTCAGACTGGATGGGCCATGTACATGGGGATGGGCAGGAGTGGCTGGCTCTGGAGCGGGAGATGGGAACGGATGGCATCGGCTGGAGGAGGTCAGGGGTTGGGGCACAGAAACCCCCTTGGGAGCTGCCACCCAATGTACCAAGACTACCCCTGCTCCTGTTTTCCCTGCCAGCTTAGGACTCCAGCACCCCGTCTTGCTGAATTAGACACTCCCGTCTGCTCCAACACAGACCCAGGGTCTGAATCACTTGTCCCAAAGCTGCAAGTTTACCTGAAAACAGCTCACAGAAGTGTGCTTGTCTTTGGCACTCAGATGCCCAACTCCCAATGGGGTCTAAACCCAGATAAATCCGTTTTACCCTGTATACAGCTTATGCAGGGCAAACTCATAAATTGTTCGCCCTCTATAACACTGATAGAGAGATATGCACAGTTGTTTGCTCCCCCAGGTATTAATACATGCTCTGAGTAAATTACTAAATAAAAAGTGATTTTATTAAATACAGACAGTAGGATTTAAGTGATTCCAAGTAGTAACAGACAGAACAAAGTAAGTCACCAAGCAAAATAAAATAAAATGCGCAAATCTATGTCTAATCAAACTAAATACAGATAATCTCACCCTCAGAGATGCTTCAGTAAGTTTTTCTCAGGTTGGACACCTTCCAGGCCTGGGCACAATTCTTTCCCCTGGTACAGCTCTTGTTCCAGCTCAGGTGATAGCTAGGGGATTCTTCATGATGGCTCCTCTCTCCCTCTGTTCTCTTCCACCCCTTTATATAGCTTTTGCATAAGGCGGGAACCCTTTGTCCCTCTGGGTTTCCACCCCCCCTCACTGGAAAAGCACCAGGTTAAAGATGGATTCCAGTTCTGGTGACATGATCACATGTCACTGCAAGACTTCATTACTCACTTGCCAGCACACACATATACAGGGAGACTCACAGGTAAATACAGCCATCTGCAGACAATGGGAGTCATCAAGATTCCAAACCATCATTAATGGCCCACACTTTATATAATTACAATAGGCCCTCAGAGTTATATTTTATATTTCTAGTTTTAGATACAAGAGTGGTACATTTATACAAATAGGATGATCACACTCAGTAGATTATGAGCTTTGTAATGATACCTTACAAGAGACCTTTTGCACGAAGCATATCCCATTTGCATTATAGTCACTTATTATCAAATTTTTATAAAACTATCCCAGTTACATTATATTCACTTATTATGTTTTTATAAAACCATATAGACTGCACAACGTCACAGGGCCAGAGCACCGGTTCCAGCCTGGCCCCAGGGTGTGGTGACCTCTGTGCAGCTCATTCTGTTTCTTGCCAGGCTGGTTTTGTGGGGGGTGGGGCTGCATGTGACCGTGTCTCCAGCTGGGGGGCTGGCTGCTGTTTGCAAAGTGCCAGGTGTGGGTCCTAACCGCCAGCCTCCCCTCACCCCCCAGCGTGGATCCCAACGACCAGAAGAAGACGGCCTGCTACGACATTGATGTCGAGGTGGATGACCCCTTGAAAGCTCAGATGAGCAACTTCCTGGCCTCCACCACCAACCAGCAGGAAATCGCCTCCCTGGATACCAAGGTTTGGGGCGGCCCAGTCCTTGCCCGTCTGTAGAGAGCAGGAGTCCTGCTGTTGCGAGTGGCGGAGCCTGAGGCTGTGAATGGCTGGGGTCCTGGCTTGCTGCAGGGTCACCAGTCAGAGCAGAAGGCGCCATGTCCCAGAGCGCAACGCAGCATGCAGCTCACCCCCAGCCCAGGCAGGGAGATGCTAATGGGGTGCCCAATGGATTGGGGGTGGGGGGCTGCTTGGAAGCAGGGACCAGGCAGCCAGAGGGAGCCATTAGAAATTGTCTTTCTTGTCTGCTCTCCCCATGCTTCCAGTTCGACAGGCCTGAGCTCTCCATTGCCAGTAGGGGCTGGGGCAGCTGGGGCATGTCTGCATCGTGGGGTGAGCCCATCAGCTGGGGGTGTCTGCAGCAGTGAGAGAGTCCCCGGGGCGGACACGGAGCTACCCACCTGGAGGGCGGAAGGGCTGCGAAGGGGAGAACTGGTATCAGGCTGTCAGCAGACTCAGGCAGATGTTGCTGCACCAGTCACCCCGATTCATGTTTTCAAGCTTCCCCCTCCCCCATACGGGTTAGACCCCTGTTGTTTGAGTAACGGCTGAGATCCCGGCTCTGGGCGAGGCCTGCACAGCACCCGAGCCTTGGGCGGGAATCTGCCGCTTCTAGCTTGGAGCTGTGCACTGCACTGGGCCTCTCGGTGCGCCAAGCCATTGGCCACCGAGGGGAGCAGGAAATGGGCCCCTGGTCGGATTCACTGCGCCATCTGAGCTGCGTGCCACGCCAGCAGACAGGGAGCAGGGCACCTGGGCCGCAGGCCAGCAGCCTCTCACCGAACGAGCGAGATTCAGTCCTGGTGCGGGCTCCCCTGACCCTCCTCCTGCCCCGTTGGCATGCTGCACTCCGCAGGCTGGCCTAGCCAGCCCTGCCCTGGGAGTCCAGAGCCGCCTGCCCGGGGCCCGGCCATGCAGGGTAGGATTAAGGAAGGAGTCGGGGCTGGGAACTGGAATCCCTGGTGCTAGCTGCCAGGGGAGAGTCTAACCCCTAGAACAGTGGTTCCCAAACTGGGGTTTGAACCCCTGGGGGTTCGCAGAACGTTACAGGGGGTTCGCCAGAAAAATTTCACTAATGGCGGACAGAGGACCCCGGGCATTGGAGACAGCAGGTGGGACCCGGTTGCAGGGCAGACACCCGAGCCCCGGGGAGAGTGGGGCCAGGCAGTTGGGGCTGGCAGCCCGAGCCCTGCCCCCATCAGCGGGGGAGCCAGCAGCCCGAACCCCAGCACTCTGCGTGGGGCTGGCAGCCCGAGCCCCAGGGAGAGCGGGGCTGGTCAGTTGGGGCATCCATCACACTGAGGAAATTTAAACGTAAATCCCTGGAAATACTCATTTTTAGGAGGGGGTTCATGAGATTTCACAATTTAGTGAAAGGGGTTCGTGGGCTGTTAAAGTTTGGGAACCCGTGCTTGGAGCCTTTTACAGACAATTGCAAGCAAAACGGCCAAGCCAGCCCTGTCCTGGCTGGGTCCGTCTCACCCGCTTTGTCTTGCTAGATCCACGAGACCATTGAGTCCATCAACCAGCTGAAGACGCAGCGAGATTTCATGCTGAGCTTCAGCAACAACCCGCAGGACTTCATTCAGGAATGGATCAAATCCCAGAGGAGGGACCTCAAGGTACAGCTGGGGTCCCGCTGGAGAGCTGAGTCGCTGCTGAGCAGGGGCTGGGGCCTGGCGTTACCATGCAGGGTAATGCAGTAACAGCCCCCTGCAGCATGGGGCCCACGCTGCCCAGTGCAGTAGCCAGCCCAGCCCAGCAGCCATGGGGTGTCTCCCCCCGGACGCGTGCCCTGCCCTGCGGGACGTGCGATCGTGCTGGCAGGGGCAGGGTGTCCGGGAAGCCTGCTGTGGGCCCTGGGAGGGCAGCAGCTGCCCATGAGCCCAGCAGTCTGCGTCCCACTGACGATCTCCTCCTCCCCATGCCGTGTTGCAGATCATAACAGATGTGATTGGGAACCCCGAGGAGGAGAGACGAGCCGACTTCTACCATCAGCCTTGGGCGCAGGAGGCTGCGGGGAGGCACATCTTTGCCAAGGTGGGGATTCTTGCCGCGCGGACTAGGCTCCCTGGGTTGGCCCCTTAGCTCTTCCCAGCGAATGCCAGAGGAGTGGGCAGAGCCCCAGGTTCCGGTCACTCTGCCCCTTTTCCTGTGAGCCCAGGGTTCGAACCTGCCCCACCCTGGAGCTGAGCCAGGTCTGGGACGTCCAGCTGGGAACTGGGCAGTTTCTGAAGGATCAGTGCTCAGCCCCTCCCATCCCCCCCCCCCCCCCCCCCCCCCCCCCCCCAGCTCTGTCCCTGCCCTTCTCCTGCAGGCCAGCCAGGAGCAGGCAGCTTCCCAGCCAGCAGTGAACCTGGCAAGACCCTGGTCAGTTTCACTGGGTGGGCATGAAAGTGATCCAGCCCTGTGGGTTTCACTCTCAGCTGCCTAGAGAGGCGGCAGGTACTGGAGTCCTCCCCCTGGAGGAAGGACTGGAGGGTGGAGAGCTCTGGGAAGTCTGGATTAGGTAGGATCTGCCCCACAGCATGCTGTGGGAATGGCCTGAAGCCAGGGCCAGAGCAGTGAGCATGGAGGGGGAGTGGGGGGCTTCAGGCCTGCTGTCTAAAATCCTGAGCAGTCAGGGAACGTACCTCCCCCTTCCCAGCACCGGGGCCTCGGCTTGGTGCTGCGGTTCTCGAGTGGCGGCTGAGCTCAGGTTCCTGCTTCCATGCCAGTGAGACCCTCAGAAGTGGAGAATGCCCCCGAGGGGCAAGAGAGCCTGTGCCCATCCGATGCTCCCCCAGCCAGCCCTGCCCTTCTCCCAGGCCCCGCCCCACCTCATGCCTCTTGTGCCTTTCAGGTTCAGCAGCGCAGACAGGAACTGGAACAAGTGCTTGGGATTCGCCTCACCTAATGGGCTGGGCACGGCTCCGGGGCTCGGCGCTCTCCTTGAGTGCCTGAGCCTGACGGTACATCTGACTGGAATGAAATACAGCACTTGCACAAAGCTCTGAGCCTCTAGTGTCCCCAGGGGCTCCCAGCCCTGCGGCTTCTCTGAATCGGCGCTCGCCGAAGGCACGGGGTGCAGCCTCTGCCTTTTCCCGGCCCCTTTACTGCATTACTGGCCTAGCTTGCTGCCTTCGCGCCTCTCCCCGTAGTGTTCATTGCAGGCTCGGTGCTCCTCCCCTGGGAACCAGAGCTTCCCCCTCCCCTGGGAACCAAAGCTTCCCCCTCCTCCCCTGCCTGGGCCAGAGCCTTGCTGGAGTCGCTGACCAGAGGGTACGAGCTCTCCCTGAGCTGAAGCCAAGGGGCCTCCTAGGCACTTCTCCATCCTGAGCGATGTGGCCAGAACGTCACAACAGCCCCACGGGCTCCTGAGCTTCAGCACGGGGAGGGCCAAGGGCTTTGCCTGCTTCCCGCTGAGCCCGTGCCAGCCTCTCCCCTGCGTGCGGAGGGCAGGCAGCTGCTGGCACTTTTGAAACCAAAGCTTTGTCCATTCCAAAGGCCGGCCGAGCTGGCGTTGTGTTTTGCACTATGTTTGTGAGCAGGGTTTATAAAACGAAGCCTTTTGTACAGTGGGTTTGTATTTGATTAATAGACGAGGTTTCCCCCTAGTCCTGCGCTCACCCCTAAACCTATGCAATGGGTTCACTTAGTCTGAGTCTCTGACAATCAGCTGAATGTTCCAGCCTCCCTCCTCTCACATCCAGCGGGTGGGGGGCTGCTGGGGCAGGGGCCGGAAGAGGGGGCTCTGCCGACTGGCTGCAGACTCCATTACTCAGGGCAGTGCACATAGGACTAGACCAAGTGGAGAAGCCAGTGTCTCTGTTCCAGCAAAGGTGACACCGTGAGCTGGGCTCTCCCATGTGCCTTAGCCCCAGCCCCCCCGCCCCCCAAGCTGCCCTGGCAGGAGGGAACAGGGGCTGTTTCCTGGGGGGCAGGGCAGCCCTGCATGGTAGAATTAGGCAGGCAGGAGAGGGTGGGTGTTTACAGACGTGCAGGCTGGGGCCGGCAGTGAGGCTTGGGCCACCTGCTCTTGTAACCATTTTGTCTGGGTTGGATATTTTCTAATAAAAATATTTAGCAGCAGCTTGTGCCAGTGTCTCCTTCCTCACCAGCAGCTGAGCAGCCGCAGCCCTGCCCCAAGGGTAACCAGCGGGGGGAGGAGGCTGGAGCAGAGTCCCTGGCTGCAGCCAGGAAACAGGAGCTCAAAGGCCAAGGGACTAACAGTGTCAATACTTCCCTCCTTCCCCAGCCGCACATCCCTGCGGTGGACACAGGCCAAAGTCCAGCTCGAGCCCATCTCACGGCCTGGGCTTCGGCTGTTAAAGGCAGGGCGAGAACAGACTGCACCAAGCCCTGGCTGGTCGCTGTGTCCCCTTCGCCACGTGGAAACTCACTGCTGGCTGCTCAGTCCCCATCACCCAGCCTAGGCTCCTTGCTCTGGAACCTAAGGGGGAGTGAGGGTTCCCAGCCGCTGGCAGGAGCAGAGGCAGCTTTCCCCTCTTAATATCCCTCCCCTCAACAGCCAGAGTCTGGGGGGGTAACTCAGCCAGCACAGAGCTTTATTAAAGAAAAGGTGAGGGGGCCAGTACCCAGCAGCACAAAGGGGTCAGGCCCCTGGTTACTTCCAGAGCTTCTTGATGGACATGTTCTTCTCGCTGTCCTTCTGCATCACCTGGGTGGGGGGGGGGAAGGGAAGGGTTAGGAGCTGCTTCTGGCACTCAGCCCCGGCCTGAGGTCACCTGCATGCTTCCTCCGCCACTGTCCTGATCCCCGCCCGCGGCAGGAACCAGGCTGGGCCCCTGGAGCCTGCCTTGCAGGGATCCTTCCTGGTGCCCCCTCCGGGCAGGGGCAGGAGCCCGTATCCAGCTTAGGGTGCGGCACTGTCTAGGCCGCAGTCCCCTTGGCATTCACCCAAGGCAGGGCAAGGACAGCAGCAGTAAAATCCCACCCCCCAACGTGCGCAGACTCGGGGAAGAAAACAGCTGCTGGGGAGCAGGTTGCCCCAGGCCAGCCCCCTAGAGCAGCAGCATCTCTGTGCAGAAGGGAGGCCCCAGGGGTTGCCTCTAAAGCCAGTTAACTCCCCTCTCCGCTGCTCTGACTTCACACTGCGACTCGGCCACAGCCAGAGCCGTTCCGGAGCGGCCAGCACGGAACTGGGAGCCTAGGATCTGCCCGAGGGAGCAGACTGGGACGCTACCAGCACCTGGGCCCGCCACGGCAGAGGAAGGGGGAGAGGCAGAGCCAGGGGAATTTCTGATTTTACCACTTGAGTGGTGCTGGTACCTGTGGAACTCCCAGCCAAAGGGGCATGGGGTGAAAGTCCCCCACGGGGTTTTATTGTGGGCCCTTGTTTCGGCAGCATGGGGACGGGTGCAATGGCAGCCTCCATCTACCTCCTGGGGGCCCCTCATTTCTTTGCATTCCTTCAGCCTGTCTCTCCCCCCGCCCCCCTTTCGGGGAGAACAGGGCTGGTTTCTGGCAGTCCCTGCAGCTCTGAACAGCCCTGGCCTTCAGTCCCTGGGGGGGGGGCTGTCCCCCTTCTCTGGCAGGGCAGCCACTTCCAGCTGGACCGGGGGCAGGGCCAGCAGCCCGGAGGAACAGAAGAGCCTGCAGTTGGTCCCTTAAAGCGCCTGGTGCACTGAAGCCACCGCCCCCACCCGCTGCTGGGGCAGCACGAGGCGGATTTTACCTTGGCTACGGCCATTTCAAAATCTTCCTGTGTAACATGCACCCTCCTCTCCCTCAGGGCATACATGCCGGCTTCCGTGCACACCCCCTGCAAGGGCACAAGAGCAAGGAAGAACAGTCACTCCCCTTTCTGCACAGCCACAGCCCCACCCCCACAACACACCCGCCCAGCCTCACACGGGGAAAGCAGTTCCCCGCAGCGTGTGACAGAGGAGTCCTGTACATCTCCTGGCGATCTGCCCGCTGCATCCACTCCATCCCTCCAGGGGAACACAGTGTGCTCAGCACAGCCCGAAAGGGCCCCAGCCTGCCCCTGGAACAGGCAAGGAGCAGGCATGTGACAGCTCAATGGAAGCTAGTCCTGGCTCAAAGCCCCCTCCAGAGCTAATCAGGAGCAGCTGCTCCCTGTCCCACCGGCCTGTAGCGCTCCAGGCCCAGCTACTCACCTTCACCTCAGCCCCCGACGCTCCTGGCATCAGCTCCGCAATTTTACGCAGATTGATCCCCCGCGTCAGGTTCATTTTCCGAGAGTGGATCTTGAGAATGTCTAGGCGAGCCTGTGGGGAGAGCCCCAGCAAGGGGGGGTGAGGGCCAAGAGGGGGGCCAGCACCCAAGAGGTCAGGGAACAGCCAGCACAGGGGGGGGAGAATGTCTGTGGGGCCAGGCTGGGACTCAGACACTACAGAAACAGAGTTTGGCCCTGGCCCGCAGGGGGATGCCCTGCTGACCGGTAGCACTGGGAGCCTGCGAGGGGCCTGCCACAGGGGAACGCCCCCATTACCTCTTCATTTGGAGGCGGGAACTCGATCTTCCTGTCAATGCGGCCCGGGCGCAGCAGAGCAGAGTCCAGGATGTCTATCCGGTTAGTGGCCATGATCACCTGCAAGGGAGGAGGCGGTCACTGCAAAGGAGCTGGGGCTTTATCCCGCAGGGAGGGGCTTGGGGGGCCAGCCATGCCAAGCCACCTGGCTTCAGCTCCCAGCTGGGAAATGGGGCAGCCGAATCCCCTCCTCCCCTGAGCCTGGGGGAGGGGTGCCAGCCTAGCCCAGGGGGGAGACCCGCGAGAAGTCACGCCAGGCTCTACGCACCTTAATGTTCTTCGTGGCCTCGAAGCCATCGAGCTGGTTGAGGAGCTCCAGCATGGTGCGCTGCACCTCGCTGTCCCCCCCGGAGCCGCCCTCCAGGCGCGAGGAGCCGATGGAGTCGATCTCGTCCATAAAGATAATGGAGGGCGCGTGTTCCCTGGCCATCACAAAGAGCTCCCGCACCATGCGCGCGCCTGAGGGCAAAGCAGAGGGGCCCCTGAACGCCCTGCCGTAGGACGGCGCACAGCCCCCCCCCAGCTCTGCAGCCCCAGGGCTGAGCCCCGGCCCCGTTCTCACTGCAGGGACCGAGAGCTCCTGCTACGCGCTGGTCAGCGCAGCCCTGGGGCTGGGCCACTTGGAAAGACGTCAAGAACCAGCCTTCGCTCCATTGTGAGGACTGACCATTGTAACATGGGCAACGGGACATTGGGACCTTCTGAAAGCTCCTGGGATGCACCATATTGGTTATTGAAACGTTGATAATTACACTCTTCGGCCTGAACACAGGCTGGGATAATTTCAACTTGAATTTCATAATTTCATGTTCTTTTTAAAGAGAAAAATGTATTTCATTACAGCACCTAATCCCATTTCGTAGGGTTTTTGTAACCATTGTATTTTATCCCCCCTGGCCCCAGCTCTTCAGAACAAGAACACGGGCCCCATGGCTGCAGCCGTGAGGGGGCCACACCGCCCCCTGCCCCTGTGACCTGCCACCAGGGCTTCGCAGAGGGACAGCTTGGGGATGGGGGGGGTTAAACTCACATCCCCCCCCCCCAGTTCCCACATCCACACTTACCCTCGCCAATGAACTTCTGCACCAGCTCCGAGCCCGAGACGCGGATGAAGGTGCAGTCAGTGTGGTGAGCCACAGCCCTGGCGAGCAGGGTCTTCCCGGTGCCGGGCGGTCCGTAGAGCAGCACGCCCTGCAATGGCCAGGCCAGCGTCGTTAGCCGAGGCGCTCGGTGCAGGAGCCGCACTGCACAGCCCGGCACAGACATGGGCATTTGGTGCCACCTAGTGGCCGATTTACTCATAAACCCCATCCAGGGCCCAGTAGGACGGGGCCCAAACCATGCGTCCAGGACCACACGCCCGGGGTGCAGCTGCCAGTGCCATGCCCCGTGCCGCCAGATGGGGGAAGCCTGGCTTTGGACAGGTGGGGACGGACCAGGCCTGCGGCGCACTCAAGGATTCGTGCCATGAGGACGCAGTTCACTGGGGGGCTGCTCAAGCTCTGCCTCCTCCGGCAAGGGCAGCAGGGGGCGCTGTGCTAGGAAGCGGCTGCATTCCCTGAGGCTCACCCCCTCCTCCACATGGGCGAGGAGCTGCCATCCCCCAGGCAGGGCTGAGGCAGGAGACGCGTACCCACTCTTGGCCTTGGCCTTGCTGCAGCTGCCAGCAGGGAGCCGTGATGGGCTCTGGCAGGGAAAAGGGCCGTCACAGCTGCTTCCCACTGGGAGCATCTAGGCCCTTGGAGCAGCCGTCCCTCCCCCCAGCTAGCATTGCAGGGGAGTGCACAGGGGCCGAGCCTCTCCTTTGGCAGGCACTGGGATCCCACCCACTCAGTGACTGGTTCCCTGCTCCCTCCCCCGGCACGGCCAGAGAACCGGAGCAAGTCGCAGGGGAGAGTGGGAGCTGCTCCGTCGTCCCCATTACTGGGAACTGGTAACGAATCTCCTTCCCCTCCCCGCTCCATGGGGTGGTGGGAACCATCCAGGGGAGGGAGAGGGCTCCCTTCTCCCTGCCAGCCTCGCCCGGAAGCCTGGCAGAGCACCAGCCCCCAGCAGTGCAGGGCTGTTTTCTGCGCAGTTCTAAGCAGCAGATGTGAGCTGGCCAGGGCTGGCAGAGTCCCCTCCTTGTGGCGGGTGGCAGGGCACGTGCTGGGAGTCCTGCCCCGGAGAGCGCTTGCCTTGGGCTGGGCGATCCCCAGGGCCTCAAAGAGCTCCGGGTGTTTGACGGGCAGCTCGATCACTTCCTTGATCTCCTTGATCTGCTTGTCCAAGCCGCCAATCATCTCGTAGGTGGAGTCCGGGACCTTCTCCACCATCATCAGGGACACCAGTGGGTCCACTTTGTTGGGCAGGATTTTGTGGAGCGTGTAGCTGTCGTTCCTCAGCGCCACGCGGCAGTTCGGGGTCACCTGTGGAGACAGACGGGCAGGAGCTCACCGCCGGCCCCCCTCACCTTCAGCACTCGCAGCGCCCCGGCCTATGCACCCAGCCTGGGCACCTCCCCAGCAAGAGCTGGGCCGCCGAGCAGCTGCTGGGGCAGGGGCGTGGCCCGACCGGGCAGCAGCAGCTGGTGGGACCTCTGCTGCCCCCGGCAGGCTGGTGACGACGGGCACAAGGGAAGGCAGCTGCGGCCAAGCTGCCCCCCTCTTCCCCCAGCACGGGGCGCGCTGCTCCGAGGGGTGGGTTCACCGGGGGCCTGGTACTCACATCATTGATGTCAATGTTTTTATCAACATCCACCACAAACTTCCCTTCTGGGTGAACCTGGAATACAGAGAGCAGAGACCTGTGGGGTGGGGCTGGGGCAGCACACGCAGCTCTTCCCCCGCCCCGCTCCAGCGCGTGCGCACAGCCTCCCCATCCCATCCCCAGCCGGTGGGCACAGGCCCCCTCCCCCGCCCACTCATCCCCAGCCAGCGAGCACAGCCCCCCCACCCCACCCACTCATCCCCAGCCGGTGGGCACAGTCGTCCCACCCCACTCATCCCCAGCCCGTGGGCACAGCCCCCACAGACCCCCCAGGGGGAAGAAGAGCCCAGCAAAGTGCCCAGGGGCTGGGGTGGGGGGGCTGCTCCTGCTCAAGCCTTTTCTAATACCCCGTCCCGCCCACTGGGCCGAGACGGTTCCACAGCCCAACAAAACATGCTGGTAACCAGCTTCTCCGCAGAGCCAGCCCCTGGGATTCAGCCCACCCCCCCAGGCCATCTCGAACGACTCTCCTCCCCATCGGAGGGAGCGTCTAGCACCCCTCGGCGCTGGGAGGGGGACAGATGGCTCCTTGCTGCCCCACAGATTTGCAGTGTGCTGGCAGCCCGAGGGCAGTTCACCCTCCCCCTGCCCCCACCTGCTCCAGGGCAGGCCCCCGGGGTTTCTGTCCCCAGGCTCATTCGGGGAGTGAGCCCACCAGCAGCCAGGAGAGCTACGGTCCCTGGTCCCTGCCCTGAGCTCATGAGCCTGGCCGACCACCCACCCACAAACCCCGGGCACTGCTCGGCCCTGGGAAGCAGCGCCCCAGCTCCGTACCTTGACAAGCACCTTCTTCTTATCCATGGCCCGCACCACCTCGCCGACGTAGGAGCCCTGCTCCTGCAGCAACTGCAGCTCCTCCCGCAACAGGCGTACTGCAGCGCAACAAGGAGCCGTGAGCCCCAGCCCTGCCCGCCCACCACGGGGCGCACAGGCCAGCTGCCGCTCAGAGGGCCCCCGTTCAGGGCCCAAGCAGAGAGGGCATTTTCAGGACAGGTCATTAATTCAGAGGGGGCAGGCGCTGCTAACTCCCCACATGTGCCAGCCCAGCCCCCCGGGGACACAGCAGCCATGCTCCGGAGTCAGCGCCGGCTTCCGTCTCAGCCAGGGGTCAGAGCCAGCACCCTGCCTTTGTATCCCTGGGAGAGCATGCCTGGGGAGCGGGGCGCCCGGCTGTCCCGCTGAGACCACCGGGAACCCAAGAGATCACCCAGCCTCCCTCCCTGGCAGAATGGGGAACAATCCAACCCTCCCTCTCACGGTACGCTCTGGACACCCTTTGCATCCCACCCAGCAGGCGGCCGCCCCCCCCCCCGGCAGGGGACGTCACGTTCTTGTTTTCAAAGCACCAATTCAGGGGGAATCGAGCACACGGAATGGGGATGAGGCGGGGGAGGCCGGCGGGAGCTCTACCTTTGGCATTCAGCTCGTTCCTCTGCGCTTGCAGGCGGCGGAGATTCTGGCTCTTCTCGTTCACGATGAGCTTTGGGGAGAGGGGGAAGGGATAAGCCCACACGAGCCCAGGGGTCCCCCTGCACAACCGGCCCCAGCACAGCACCTCGCTCTGGTCGGCTCGCTCCTGAACAGGGGCTAACCACCAGTCTAGCAGCTAGGAAGTGCCCACGCGTCTCCAGTGGGCAATGCGCAGGCGCCTCCCTGGGGAGCGCTAGGCCACTGTTCCCGCCTCACGCCCGTCACTACAGCAGCCCTTGCACCGAATCCCCCCCAGCATCTCCAGCGTGAACCGCTTGGGAAAGCAGCCGGCACTGGAACGGGGACCCAGCTCTGAGCGTCTCTTACCACGTGGTCTGCACCCAAAGCCAGACTAACGGCCTCCCCTCTCTGCCAGGAACAAGGAACATTTCCCCTTTGAAGGGGTTTGCGCGTCACTTTGTCCCTGCTGCAGAAGTGGGGGTGCCACCACCAACCCTGACACCCTGAAACCTGGGCAAGGGGCCCCCTTCCCAATCTGTTATTGGGCATGCGCCGCTCTGCTCTGAGAAACAACGGTCAAAACGGCCCCTTCTAGCCCTGCCTTCCGCAGAGTCAGGCCAGCCGGCTTTGGAGACGCCTGCCACTGAC